AAAAAAAAAAAAAAAGAAAGAAAAAAAGGATAGTCCAGACTGTCTGCTGCTTTGGCGTATCCCATAGCTTGTGTCACAAGTTCAGAGTTTTGTTGTTGTTTATTTCTTTCTTTCTTTCTCTCTCTTTCCTTCCTTCTTTCTCTTTCTTTCTTTCTTTCTTTCTTTCTTTCTTTCTTTCTTTCTTTCTTTCTTTCTTTCTTTCTTTCTTTCTTGACAAGGTCTTACTATGTAGTTTTGGCTGTCCTGGAACTCACTATGTAGATAGACCATGCTAGCTTTATACTCAGATCTTCCTCCTGAGTACTGAGATTAAAGGTGTGAGCATTGTGACTGGTTCAAACCTTTATTTCTTTTAGCTAAGCTAGCTTCAAACTCTCTAACCTAGGGGGACCTTGAACTCATGGTCCTGCCTTTGCCTCCTGAATACAATGATTACAGGATGTACCATGAGGCTCAGTGTTTGTAGTACAGATCAAACTAAGGTTTCATACATACTAGGCAGGTACTTGGCTAACTGAACTATAGCTCCATCCCCTCCGGTTTCTCTTTCTGCTTCACTATATTTCTTCATTATTATAGTAGTTATGCTAGTAAGCCATCTCACTACAGATTTTCTTTTATACTTATTTGTGTTATTGCTTGTGTTCATGTATACATAAGTGTGGATAGAGGTCAGAAGACAGCTTGCAGGATTCGGTTCTCTTTCTACCTTGTGGGTTATGGGGATCAAAGTCAGATCTTCAGGCTTGGGAGCTTTACCAGCTGAGCCAGCTTACTGCACCTTGTTTTTGTTTTTTAAGACAGGATCTGTGTATGTATGTAGTCCAGGCTGGCCTAGATCTCAGTGATTTCCCCTTTTTAGCCTTCTGACCTGGAATTACAAATGTGAGCCATCACATCTAGTTGCTTATTGTTTTTTGGGGTTTTGATTTTTTTTTTCTCTCTGTAGCCCTGGCTGTCCTGGAACTCACTCTGTAGACCAGTTTGGCCTCAAACTCAGAGATCAGCCTGCTTCACTGAATGTTGGGAATAAAGGTATACAACATACTGCCCGGCATTCTTAACACCGTTTTGATATGCATTTATCTGAAGAACTGTGTATGATAATATCTTTTCATGTGGTTCCTGGGATCAAACTCAGGTTGTAAAACTTTTAAACTTGATAAGCTATCTTGCTGGTCCTGATTTTTTTTCTTTTTTCTTTCTTTTTGTAAGAGCATTTTATATCTATACAAGCATTATATACCTATAGAAAAATTTATACTTTTTTTTTTTGGTCTACTTTTTTTTGTTTGAATTTCTTTTAGTAATTGCATTATATTTCTTTGTGTATTGTGGATCCTAATCCTTTGACTTTCTCCTTTTTTAGTATTATCTTTATACTTTTTAAAAGAAACACTCTTTTAATCACTTGTTTTACTTTTTATGTGTATGCGTTTTGCCTGGTTATATGTCTGTAACATATGTGTAGGCTAGAAGAGGGTGCGAGATCCCCAGAACTGGAGATGGTTGTGAGCCACCATATGTGTGCTGAGAATTGAACCTAGGTCCTCTGGGGGAGGAGCCAATGATCTTACCCACTGACTTATCTTTCCAACTTGTCTTTATACTTTTTTGATTGGTATTGTTTACAACACGAAAGTTTTGAAGTTTTTGTTTGTTTGTTTGGTTGGTTGGTTTTTTTCCCTGGTTGTCTGGAACTCACCGTATCAACCAGGCTGGCCTTGAATTCACATATACCTGCATGCCTTAGCCTCCCAAGTGCTTGGATTAAAGCATGAGCTGCCAAGCCAAAAGTTGATACCAGTTTAGTTTCTTCTATTGCTTTGCTTGAGAATCAGCTAGGAAAATATGTTTTGCTTTTTTGTTTGTTGGCTTTTACTATTAAAAATTTAATCATCATTATTTTGTGTGTGTCAGTGTTTTTGCCTGCATGTATACATAGGTACCCTGTGTTCGGTGCCTTTGGAGGTCAGAAGTCATTGGATCCTCAGAGACTGGGATTTTATAGACAGTTGTGAGTCACTGTGAGTGCTGGGAATTAGACCTAACTTATCTGCAAAAGCGACAAGTTCTCTTAACCACGGAACCAACTCTTCAGCTCTGTACTTTTTTTTTTTTTAAAGGTATGGTTTTGGGTATGGAGGTCAGAGGACATCTTTGTGAAGATAGTTTTTCCATGGGTTCCTGGGATCAAACTCAGATTATAAGGCTTTTAGAACAAGCCACTTTACGTGATTTTGCTGGCCCTGATTTTTTTTTTTCTTTTTGTAAGAGCATTTTTATGATTTTAAACTCTGTGTGTTCGTGTGGGTGTGGAAATGCAGGTGCTTTGGATCCCTATGGAGCTGGAGTTACAAGCTGATGCATGCCACCTCGTGGGTACTGGGAACTGAAGTCAGGTCCTCTGCAAGAGCACTGCATTGTCTTAGTCACTGAGTGATCTCTCTAACCCATTTTTGGTCTTAAAACAGTCTGACTCTATAGTCCTAAGTGCCGTGTAGCTGACCTTGACTACTTCCCAAAGGTTAGAATTACAGCTGTCCACTACTCTGCCTGGTATTATTTATTTTAAAAGCAGTAGCATAATCACATAGGATAGCCTCAGAGTCATAGGTATTATCCTGCCTCAGCCTCTCAACTTGCTAGGATTATGAGGTATGTGCACCACCATATCCAGCCAACCTTTCAATTTTCTTAAGCCTTAAAATCAAATAGTTTCTTTCTGAGACAGAGTTTCATGGGTTGTTTGTTTGTTTTAAAGACAGGGTCTGAATATGTGGTCTAGTTTGTCTTGAACTCACTATTGGTCCAGCCTGGCCCAGAAGTCTTAGTGGTTCCTCATTGTGGAACCAGAACTTGTTGTGAGTCAAGGATAGCCTTGAATTTGATCCTCCTACCATACCCAGCTCAAATATAAAGAAAAATGTATAGCTGGTGTGGTATCACACACCTATAATCTCTACTGGAAAGGGGGAGATAAGAGGATCAGGAATTCTAGTGTAGCCTGAACTACATGAGGCATTTCCTTAAAAAAGAAGACAAAACCAAAAAAAAGCAAACCATAGGCCAGAGAGAAAGGTCAGTTGGTAGCCTGTTTGCCTAACATCCTCAAGCCTCTGGATAACCTAAACTGGATGTCAACATGTGTTTCTGGGATCTTAAAGGAAGATGTAGAGGTAGGGGAGTCAGAAGGTCTAGGTTATCCTTAGCCATCCTAGGTCGTCTGTGTCAGGGCTTGCCTGGATACATAAGTCTCTGACTAAACACAACAAAACCCCATAAAGTTTAACTATTGGGATGGGTTTATAAAATTTCAGCACCAGTTTTTTTTCTGCAATTTTTGTCTTTATGTGTGTATAGGTGTTTTGAGACTGTGTCTCACTCTATTGCTCTGACTGACCTAAAACTTGCCTTGTAAACTAGACTGGCCTTGAGTGTTCTTCCTGTTTCTGCATCCAGGGTACTGGGATTACAGGTATACATCTCCAAACCTAGCCAACTGTTAATTTTTTCAAACAACTTTCTAGACACATTTCTACTTTTAAAAACAATCAAATCTGGTGTGGTTTTTTTTCCTCCCTCCCAAATATAGTTGATATTTAACAATTCAAAAAGAAGGCATCATTGTAGCTTATATTGTTCTATATTTTATTGTTTTGTAATATTTAACAGTACCACATATTTCAGTCATAAAATATAGGGAAATACTTGAGAGTTTTTTTACTTGAAGCAATAATGTCTCACTGAAATAATGTCTTTTGTTGGTTATAAAGGTTTAGTTTTTGTACTAGCCTCCAGATCTCTATGTAGTTCCAACTCATGTGATCTTAACCTCAAGATTTTATCTGTCTTCTGATTGTTTGAATTATTTGTATGCACTAACACAGTCAGATAATATTTAATTATAGAAAGTTGTACAAAGATTGACTTTTGTCTTCTAATTCAGTGGCTATGACTTTATGTTGTTACTTTTTTTCCCCCATTAATTTATTTATTCACTTGATATCCTGGTCTCAGTCCTCACACCTCTTCCAGTCCTTTCCACATGAGCCCTCTCCCCACCCCATCCTCCCTTTCACCTCTGAGAAGGGGGAGGTTCCTTCCAGAGAACCTGCACCTCAAGTCACTGCAGGACTAGGTACATCCTCTCCTACTGAGGTCAGACAAGACAGCCCAGTTAGGGGAGCAGGATCCACAGGCAGGGAACAGAGTCAGGGTAAGCCCTCTCTCTATTTGTTGGGGGACTTGCATAAAGACTAAGCTGCACATGTTCTTTGGTTGGTCATGTTGTTACTTTGATTACAAATTTGGCCTAGTGTTTAGTTTTTCTTGTCAGGAAGATAATGAAGATGTTTAACATATTTAAAGAGCCTGATTGATAGAAATGCTCTTGAGGAGTTGATTTGTTGGGTTTATTTTTGACATGAGGTTTACTTTGTTGCCCTGACTTGCCTGGCTGGCCATGTAGACCAATACCCAGCTGATTTTTGGGCTAGGGTTGTGGGGTGGGGGAGATGATGATAACTACAGGGTCTTGTTACTTATTTCTGGCTGGTCTGATGCTCATTATGTAGCTCAGGATAGCCTCAAACTTCTGATAGTTCTCCTGTCTCACTCTCCTGTTTGTTAGACTTATAAGTAAAAAAATAATAATAACATTTAAACAGCTGAGCATGGTGGTACGTGCTTTTAATCCTTACCCTCAGGATTCTGAGGCAACTGGATCTTTGTGAGTTGAAGGCCAACCTGGTCTACAAAAGGACAGCCAGGGCTGTTTTACATAAAAACCCTGTTAAAGATTTATTTATTTTACGCATGTGAGTACACCAGAAGAGGGCATCAGATCCCATTACAGATGGTTGTGAGTCACCATGTGGTTGCTGGGAATTGAACTCAGGACCTCTGGAAGAGCAGTGCTCTTAACCGCTGAGCCATCTCCCAGCCCAAACCCTGTCTCTTAAAAAAAAAAAAAAGTATTAATAAAGGTATTTAAATACAGTTTCATAATGAGGGTTAAGAGAGAAAGGAACTACTCAGAAGGAAAAATAAGAGCAAGGTATAGACTTCTCAAAAAGCAGTCCTAAAAGAAAGATATATTAAATATAGATACTGGTTTCTCAAAGGGGAATGACCAAAGAGCTAATTTTAAAAATTAATCCAGGCTGGGGATGTAGTTTGGTCATATAGTATTTGCCTACATATATGAGGTCCTACATTCATTTAAAGATTTTTACATTGCATTTTTATTTATTGTGCATGTATGTGTATATAAGTGTATGCAACTGTGATGGTGTAGAGGTTGGAGAACAAATAGAGTTTGGTGCTTCTACCCTGTGGATTATAGTAGATTGTAGGTTCTGTGGGGTAGAGTCAGGATCAGGCTTGGCAGCCGGTGCCTTTCCTTTACCCACTGGGCCATTTCACCATCGCCTAAATTGCTTTTTAAATAGTTGCATCATTTTCCATCATCAGGTATTCCAGAACTAGAGCTATGGCTGTGGTAGAGCACTAACCTAACTGTGAGTGAGCCTGTGGCTTGTATTCTCAGCACTGAAAAGTAGGTAGATAGAGTTAATAAAGGAAAGTATTCTAATGCTTCTTAGTAGCAATTCTTTATTCTATGTCATCTCTAAACTCTGAGCTCAGTGTACCTCAAGGCTTTTCTCATTTTGTAGGGTATCAGTGAGCAGAGCAATCAAGCCCTTTGCAGAACCTGGCCGGCCTCCAGACTGGTTCTCTCAAAAAGTAAGTTACCAATCAGGTTTTCTTTTATACTCATTGGAATATGAAATTGGTTTTTTACCAGGTTTTGTCTTGTTGCTTACAAGGTTTTCCGTATCATGAAGGGGAAAATAACTTACAGTGCTATAGGTTGGGTGTATTGGTACATGCCTGTAATTCTAGCAGTTGGGAGATAAGCAGGAGCATGTTAACATGTGTAAGACCAGCCTGGTTTACATGGAGAGTTTCAGGCCAAGTAGAGCTACATAACAAGACCCAGATGGGTCAGTGGTTAAGAGCACTGACTGCATAAATAAAAAAAATTTAAGTAAGAATATTTTAAATTGAATAAGAGTAAAATTTTAATTTTTATTAAAAATAAAAATAAGATACTTAAAAATTTTCCAAAATTAGAAACAAAGGAAAATGCCTTTTTGGTTTTTTTTTTTTTTTTTTTTAATTTAGTAGTAGTTTTGTGTGTTCATGTGGAGTCAGAGGATAACTTTCAGGAATGAGTTTTACCCTGAGTTCTGGGATTGAGTTCAGGTTATTGTGTCTCATTGCAGATGCTTTTCTTACCCACTGAACCCCAAAGACACAGTAAGTTTCTCTTTTGAGGTAGAGTTTCACTATGTAGACCAGGCTAACCTTGAACTCAGAGATCCTTTGCCTCTGCCTCCCACCATGACCAGCTAAGCTACACAGTCTTGAATAGCTTTTTTCACTAAGTCTTATTTCTCTATTGTTGAAACTTTGAAAGCTTGTTTCTTTCTGAGCTTGTTTATCACATTTTTCTTTGTGTGTTTTATAGCATTGTGCTTCTCAGTACTCTGAGCTCTTAGAGACTACGGAGACTCCAAAGTAAGTGTGAACCCAGGTACACATCTGTTTGGTGGGAAGTATTCACTGTGAGAAAAGTATAGCAGATGTATTTTTTTATGATTCAATGGTAGAAAAGGCTCAGTGAATACAAGTGGAAACAAATGTCCTCTTATTTAAATTTAGATTTATTGTTTGATTTTTCCACAGACGGAAAAGGGGTGAAAAAGGAGAAGTGGTAGAAACTGTCGAAGATGTTATTGTTCGCAAACTGACTGCTGAGAGAGTTGAGGAACTGAAGAAAGTCATAAAGGAGACACAGGAGAGATACAGGTAATTATCAGGTGATTTGGGAGGGGTGTTGGAAAGATATAAAAGGCTGACTTCTGGTATACACAAGATTAAGTTGGTGTTTATGAGTGACAGGGTCTTACTGTATAGTCCTGGCTGGCCTGAACTCTCTCTGTAGACTTAGCTGGAGATCCATTATCCTCTGTAGTGGTGCACGCCTTTAATCTTAGCACTTAGGAGGCAGAGGCAGGCAGATCTCTGAGTTCAGAGCCAATTTGGTCCTCAGAGTGAGTTCCAGGATAGTTGGGGCTACACAGAGAAACCCTGTCTTAAGGGGGAAAAAAAAGGAAAAAGAGAAATGAAGTTAAGATGCTGGGTCCATGGTATGTCTACAGCAGCTACTCAGGAGTTTGAAATGAAAAGGTTACTTGAGACCACAAGTCAGAAGCTCTGAATGTGATTTATAGTATTAGACAGCTCAGTGACAGAGATGAAAGGGACCCTGCGTAAGTCCAGCTGGAAGTAGAGGACCTGTGACCTCATGTGCTGTGGAGTGTGTCCACCTGTACTTGTACATACACACTAATAAATTAATAAAAGAGTATGGTAGCTCATGCCTGTAATCCCAACATTTGGGAGACCAAAACAGGAAGATTTGTGCAAGTTTGAGCCTAGCTTGAGCTACAGAGGAAGACCCTGTCTCAAAAACCCAGAAACTTACAAACTAAGAAATTGTAAAGAAAACTGCTGTCTGCTTCTTTGTTTCTATAGGCGTCTGAAAAGAGATGCAGAACTAATTCAGGCCGGGCACATGGACAGCAGACTGGACGAGCTCTGCAGTGACATCGCAATGTAGGTCCCATCTGCTCCATCTGCTGCTGGGTCAGACAGAGCACCTTTTATAAGTGCCTCATAAGCTGTGGAAAGGGGCTACAGCTGGCTGACATACCTCAATTTCTTTTTTAGGAAAAAGAAATTGGAGGAGGAAGAGGCTGAAGTAAAAAGGAAGGCCACAGATGCTGCATACCAGGGTAAGCTGCGTTAGTGCTTCTGTTCTCACTGGCCGTGTGGTTCTGCATGCTAATGGCAGTTGGCTGTGTGGTTAGACGAGTGTGAGGACCACTGCACTGTGGGTCGAGACTTAGCTGCTGTTTTCTGATGTATAACCTACTAGTTTGTTCCTCCTCTTCCTCCTCTCTTTTTTCCCAAAACACTATTCTTTTTGGTTTTCTGCTAAGGATTGAACTGAGAGCCTTGTTTATAGCTGCTAAAGGTAGACTTCCAGGTTGTCATTAAATAAACAAGCTTTTATCAGAAGGAATTCCACTGTACTGGAAGGCTTTCTCAAGTATCACAAGCCCATACCTATCCGAGTTCTTTCATCTTTTGTATTTTCCAATCACTATTTTCTGTCATGTCCCATGATTTCTCAGTCGTAGACTATAGATCTAGCCATTCAATGTCTTAGGCTCCTGACTGATCTGCTAAACTGTAAGGCAGTTAAAACTTTCCCTCTTCTCTCTAAAATTTGAGCGACTTTACTCTCTGGAGCAAACTGGCAGCAAACAGGAAAAATGTACAGATTTATTGTGTGCATGTGCACAAAAATTTGATAAAATGAGGTGTCCAGGTAAAGGATGGAGCCTAGTTGTAAACCCTTGCCTAGCATGCATGAGACTAACAAATAACTACAGCGGAAAGATCCATTCCTGTTAGTTATCTTTTTTCTACCAGAATAAACCATCCTTTATGGCAAGAGGAAATACTTTGAAAAAATGAGGTCTCTCATACTCCCTAGGTCTCCAGTTTACTTGTAGGACTCACAAGCTTGATAAGGTAGACTGAACATAATTTAAGGTTTTATTCTCTTTATATATTTATTTTTTGAGGGTTTTTTTTTTTTTCTTCCAAGATAAGAGTTTCTCTGTGTAGCCCTGGAAGTCATTCTGTAGACCAGGCTGACCTCCAACTCAAAAGAGCCACCTGCCTCTGCCTCCAAAGTGTTAGGATTAAAGGCGTGCGCCACCACCACCACTATCCAGCTTTTTTTTTTTCTTCAATTTTTTTTTTTAAACATTTGTTTGTTTGTTTGTTTGGAAGTGGAGGCACAGACAAGTGTCATATGGGTGTGTGTAGACCAGAGGACAAGTTGTAAAAGTATTCTCTCCTCCCACCAGGTGAGTCCCAGGGATTGACCTTAGATTATCAGTCCTTATAACAAAAGCCTTTATCACGGAACCATCTTATTAACCTTAATTAAGGTTCTAGAACTCAGAGGCCAATAAAAAAGGTCAAAGGTGGAGTGAGCGAGTGTGGTGGTATACATCGTTATTGCTAGCATTTGGAAGGCTGAGGCAGGACGAGCTCTGTGAGCTAGTACAGTTGACATAGTGGGTTTCAGGCAAGCTAGGGCTGCATTGTGAGACACCCCCCCCCCCCCAAAAAAAAAGAAAGAAAGAAAAAGGAAAGAAAGAAAAGGAAAGGAAAGCCAGATATAGTGGTGTATGCCTGTAATCCCAGAAATTGGAATTCAAATTCAGGAAGGAGGTGGAATCAAGAATTCATCTCAGATAGCCTTGGGTGGTAAAGTAGAGGAGAAGCATAAGTGTTAGCAACTGTAAGACAGATTACATGGTGTGAACCAATGAGGTCTTTTCCTCTTTTTAAAAGCAGAATCTTAAGTTGCTGAAGAAGATATTGAGATGTAAACCATTTGCTACAACAAGGACCTTTGAGATAGTTAAGTAGTGAATTTGTTTAGTGTGAGAATCGACTTTAGTTTGAAAAACTAAACTAAAAAATAATAATAAAATTTCTAATCACTGCTTCAGGGTATAACAGTGGCTAATTTCACTTATTTAATCCTGAAGATTTCATCTATCGCTTCTGTTCTAGCTCGGCAAGCAGTGAAAACACCTCCTCGAAGGTTACCGACTGTGATGGTCCGCTCTCCTATAGACTCTGCCTCCCCGGGAGGTGATTATCCACTTGGAGACTTGACTCCAACCACTATGGAAGAGGCTACCTCTGGGGTAAGAATGTTTGCATTTATTGGAATCGATTTGTAAAGGGACTATAAGCCAGCAGAGAGCTAAATGATAGGAAAACACACTTTTTGCCTAAAAGCAACTTCTCTTGGTGTAAACACTAGAGGTTTAGTTTCTTACACACTCCTCTACTGTAAGGATGGACCGAGAGTGTTGAGGGTTCTGACGAGTTGAGAGATAAGTAAGAGACTCTGTGAGTTACTTGTTGATGTATTTAGTGTTACACATTTCTGCTGAAGAAAGAGACCATTTCTTTATAAATATAATAGTAACAGAGTTTAGGGAGTTTGAAAATAGCAGGTAGATGAAATGATTGGGTTGTGGGTTAGAGTGAGTGGAGGCGAAAATACTATGGGAAGGAAGTGTAGACGGTTTCTGGTTATTTCCATTCAGAACTAATAAAATAATAGACACATTAACCCATCCAGATTAGTAAGGAACCTTCCATAGTTTGAAAAGTCAGATAAAGGTTCTCTGTTGTCTCTTAGGTAACCCCTGGGACTTTGCCGAGTACCCCAGTCACCTCGTTTCCTGGGATTCCTGACACCCTTCCTCCAGGCTCTGCACCCTTAGAAGCCCCCATGACCCCAGTAACAGATGATTCACCCCAGAAAAAGATGCTTGGACAGAAAGCAACTCCACCCCCCTCCCCTCTGCTGTCAGAGCTCTTGAAGAAGGGCAGCCTCCTGCCTACTAGCCCCAGACTGGTATGGAGACTTCTGTGGGTGTTTGAGAGCTGTGGTGATTTAGTACTTGGAAGGGAATGCCTGGGTCCTAAAATAAGACTTGGGGGAAAAAAAGCCAGCAAACAACAACCAAAAAAAGAAAGAAAAAAAATGAAAAGAAAGAAAAAGAAAAACAGGGAAAAAAAAAAGTCCTAGTTAAAGGTTAACTTTAAAAAAAGAATGCATTAAGTCGCTTCTTGGATCCTAAGGTATCTGAATGATAGTTATTGTGGTTTTCTTCCCCTAGAGAACGCTTGACACTTAAGTTTTGAACATTATAGTTTAGAATTTCCCTTCTATCTTGCATTATTTTCTGTGGATACTAGGTTTTAGTTTCAAGAAGTTTCATTGACTGTTGAGCGTGGTCTTGTCTTGTTATTTGGGGGAAGTGGTAGTAAACGTGCTTGAGAATAGCCTTCACCTCTGTTCTTCCCTGGTAGGTAAACGAGAGTGAGATGCCTGTGCCCTCCGGCCATCTGAACAGCACGGGGGTTCTCCTGGAGGTAGGCGGGGTTCTTCCCATGATACATGGTGGGGAGATACAGCCAACAACCAGTGCTGTGGCAGCCTCCCCAGCTGCCTCAGGTAAGTTACTGTTCGTGCTTTTCATCTTTATTAGAAAGAACACAGTCATCTTGTATTTAAGGCCCAATTACAGTTTTTAGACTTTGCTATGAAGATAGTTTTCTATTAAACAATGTAGTGTTTGAGATTGTTGATTCATTGCATATGTAAAATATTGATAGCTCTAATTTACCACAGTATAGGTGATGATCAAAGAAACAGTAAAGTTAGTAGTGAAGGTATCGCTGTGTCTTACAAAATGTGAAAAGATGTCAGAGATCCATGAGATTATGAACTAGGAAAAGAAGTTTAGAACTGGAGATTTGGGCTTGAATCTCATGTCTTTTATACTATTTGATCTTGTGACTTTGAATAGGTAACTATTGAGACTGTTTCATATTTTGTTAATGTTGGCAATATATTTGTGCTTGCAAATTTATGGAGAGATGATAGAGACCCTGGAAATTATAAAGTAAGGGATTTAGAACCCAAAACCTAGTTTGAACCTCAGATCTGCAGCATGTATTGGTTTTGTTATCTTGGAGAGGCATCTTAACTATTGAGACTTAAGTTTCCTTTTTTTATTAATGGTGGCATGTATACTTTACAGGGATGTGTTAAAATTAAATAACAGAAAATGTGAAGCAAAAATAGTAATACCATACAAATATTAGACATCGGTATTTGATTAATATTTTGAATATTTTGGGTGGTATACAGTGTACTGAATCTCAGAAGTAGCAGGGTGTTTTCCTTCCTTCTTCCTTTTTTTTTTTCAGAGAAAATGACCACCCATTTTTAATATATACAGTGTATAATTTGATACTTGGGTTTGTTTTTATCTTGGAAGATCTTAGATAAGGTTAAAGAAAGGAGGGTTGTGATAGCTTATTCAACACAGAATTTACTTTTGTTCTTTTAAACTATAAATAATTGTTAATTAAGTCCTAGAGTTAATTAAGAATTAACTGTTGCCGGGCAGTGGTGGCGCACACCTTTAATCCCAGCACTTGGGAGGCAGAGGCAGGCGGATTTCTGAGTTCGAGGCTAGCCTGGTCTACAAAGTGAGTTCCAGGACAGCCAGGACTATACAGAGAAACCTTGTCTCCAAAAACCAAAAAAAAAAAAAAAGAATTAACTGTTGCTTCTTGTTCATATGCTGTCTTCCCTCATTTTGTGTACTTCTTTGTCAGGCGCTCCCACTCTTTCCCGGCTTTTAGAAGCTGGTCCCACACAGTTCACCACTCCTCTTCCTTCCTTCACTACTGTTGCCAGTGAGCCTCCAGTTAAGCTTGTGCCACCCCCTGTAGAGTCTGTGTCCCAGGCTACCATTGTCATGATGCCTGCGCTGCCAGCACCATCTTCTGCTCCTGCTGTCTCCACTCCTGAAAGTGTAGCTCCAGGTACATCCCTGTCCCACACCCTGAGCAGCCACAGGACTCCTGTCTAGATGCTTCTCTTCTCCATAGACTTGGACCATCTTTATCCTTAGGAAAGCAAGGATGGAAATGGGTGTGTTTGTGAGTTGGGTGGGGCAAGTTAAGTGTGGGGTGGGGAGCAGGCTTGAGACTGTATTCTCACTTTACTTTGTAAATAAAACGAGGGAGAAGAAAACAAGGGCAGAAGTAAGTTTTTGACCTTAAGTGTCTGCAGTTCTGGTGTGATCTCTGGGTGGTCACTTAATACTGGAAAGGTTTCTGAGTTGCTCTTTGTTTTTGTTCATCAGTGAGCCAGCCTGAGCCCTGTGTTCCCCTGGAGGCTATGGGGGATCCACACACTGTGACTGTTTCCATGGATAGCAGTGAGATCTCCATGATCATTAATTCTATCAAAGAAGAGTGTTTCCGCTCAGGGGTAGCAGAGGCTCCTGGTGGATCAAAGGCTCCAAGCATAGATGGGAAGGAGGATTTAGATCTGGCTGAGAAGATGGATATTGCTGTGTCTTACACAGGTGAAGAGTTGGACTTTGAAACAGTTGGAGACATTATTGCCATTATTGAGGACAAGGTAACCATTTATCAAAATCCTAAAAAGTCTCCTGGGTTCTACACTCTTCTTCCTGTCTTTGATTTAGAATTATTTAATTCTACTTTTGCCCCTTTTCATCTTTGTAGTCTGATATACGAATCTTCCCTTCCATGTCTCTTCCTTGTATGCATAGCACAAGTGTCTGCACTTGACGTTTCCACTAAGTGATAAAGATAGAAAGCAGCTGTAGATCAGCCTCTAATTCTGTACTGTTAAACTGAAGGACCTGGGCTTTTTCTGTGTTCTCAACAATTTGTCTACCGTGGAACAGGTGGATGATCACCCTGAAGTGCTGGATGTAGCAGCTGTAGAAGCAGCATTATCATTCTGTGAAGAAAATGATGATCCTCAGTCGCTGCCTGGCCCTTGGGAGCACCCTATCCAGCAGGAGCGGGACAAGCCAGTACCTCTTCCAGCACCAGAGATGACCGTCAAACAAGAGAGGCTAGACTTTGAGGAATCAGAAAACAAAGGGATCCATGAACTGGTAGACATCAGGGATTCAGGTGTTGAGATTAAGGTGGAACCTACAGAGCCAGAGCCAGGCATGTCTGGGTCTGAGATAGTAGCTGGAGTTGGTCCGGTCTCAAGTATGGAGCCACCAGAACTCAGGAGTCAAGACTTAGATGAAGAACCTAGAAGTTCTGCACCTGGAGAGATTGGTGAGGCAGATGGTTCCAGTGGGAAATGCGATGAGAGGCCACTTTCAGCTGTGAAGGCAGAGGTATTGAACACGATTGGGCTGGGACTTAGGCAAGAAGTAAGAGCTTAGGTGCTTGAATTCCTAAGTTCTGACATGTTGCACATATCCAAAGCCACAGGCGGTGATTAGTATTATGCTCCTTCTACAGAGAGCATTAAAATATGAGGCGAGTAGGCATTGTGTTTTCTTCTGTGGTCTCATTGACATTGGAGAATAGAATTGTGGGAGCTATATCAGTTTGTTAGTAACTAGTCAGTCACTGACTGACTCTTCTTTGATCTTCAGGCATCCCCTGAAAGCATGCTGTCTCCATCACATGGCTCAAATCCTATTGAAGATCCTTTAGAGGCAGAGACGCAACACAAGTTTGAAATGTCAGGTAAATAAAGGACTGGAAGTTTGAACTGTACCTGACTTGACTTCTTTTCCTTTGACTTCTCAGGGATTGTGGGTTGTGGGCAAGTAGAGGAAGTAGGACAGAACAGCCTGAAAAGAAAGGAGAGCTGCAGGGAGACTTGTGGTCAGTAGGAAGGGGAGGCTAAGGTGCGAAATCTTCAGGCAGTCTCTCTCTCCTCTGCAGACTCATTGAAAGAAGAATCAGGGACTATTTTTGGAAGCCAGATAAAGGTATTTCAGACTTTTCTTTATTCTTCTTGCCATATAATTAGATTATCCCACAGTACTACCGTTTAAAATGAATTTTAGTAAATTCATAAATTCATATCTTTATCTTGTAAATCTGGTAAGGAGTTGGATGAGGAAAAGATGTAGTGGACATTCTTACCTAGTGGGAATATACAGTAATATGTGCTTCCCCTGTGAGAGTTGTAAAGACCACGTAGTCCTTTCTGTTTGTAATGCACAAAGAAATTTTGATACATCCAAAATAACTTTGAGTTGACTAGAGGTGCCGGGAAGAGCATATAGAAGTCAGGTCACATTTTAGACTATTGAAAGAGAATTATCTGGTATTTAGAATTACTAAAGTAGTAGTAACAGATTTCAATTCATGCAACGTGAGCTTGCTCCATCAGAAAAGACATGAAATAAAACTATTTTTGGTAACTTTGTATCCAGGGTCAGAGTTCCTTTCAAGAGCAAGGGGAAAGAAGGAATGCAGCCTCTTAGCTTAGTCTTAAGTAAGTAAGCTTTTTTTTTTTTTTCCCCTTCCTTTCAAAAAGATCCTGGGCTTTATTCTTTGTCCAGGTTCTAAATTCTGTTACCTTAGTCAGTTAAGTAGAGGGCAGTATAAGTGATAGAGGGCTCAGCCGAAAATCAGTGTGAGGCCGTTTCTAGAGCTGATCTAATAACCCAGAGACAGATGTCATTTAATAATGCCTTACTAGGTAGCTTTGCTTGCATCTGTTGACTAATGCATTACTATTCTAAGGATGCCCCAGGTGAGGAGGAGGAAGAAGATGGAGTCAGTGAAGCAGCTAGCCTAGAAGAGCCTAAGGAAGAGGATCAAGGAGAAGGCTATTTATCTGAGATGGATAATGAGCCCCCTGTGAGCGAAAGTGATGATGGCTTTAGTATACATAATGCCACACTGCAGTCACATACTCTGGCAGACTCCATCCCAAGCAGCCCTGCCTCCTCGCAGTTGTGAGTATCTGTGATGATTCCTTCCTTTTTTTTTTTTTTTTTTTTTTTAAGGTGGGCTCGTATACTCCAGACTAATGGTCAACTCAGACTCTGTAGTTGAGGGTGAGCTTGAATTCCAGATTCTGGGTGCTGGGATTACAGACATACCCCTACACCCCACTGTGTGTGTGTGTGTGTGTGTGTGTGTGTGTGTGTGTGTGTGCGCGCGCGCTAGCGCGTGTGCACTGAACCCAGGACTTTTGAATGGTAGGCTACATTTGTAGCCTCAGTTTTACTTATTTTCCCTTTCTTAGAAGCTTGAAACAAATAGTTTAAGAGAAACAGGACGTTTTCCCTTATGCTTAGTAGCACTCATATATGGATTTCAGTTCTGTGTGCAGTGAAGATCAAGAAGCAATTCAGGCTCAGAAAATATGGAAGAAAGCCATCATGCTTGTATGGAGGGCTGCAGCAAATCACAGGTGAGCAGGCATTACCAATTCCTCACTGTTGGTTTAGGAAATTATTCAAGGAAGATGGGAGACACTACGTTAGTGTTGATTCTTTTTTTGGTTTTGGTTTTGGTTTTGGTTTTTTCAAGGCAGGGTTTCTCTGTGTAGCCCTGGCTGTCCTGGAACTCACTCTGTAGACCAGGCTGGCCTTGAACTTAGAAATCCACCTGCTTCTGTCTCCCAAGTGCTGGGATTAAAGGCGTGTGCCACCACTGCCTGGCTTAGTGTTGAATTTTTTTTTTTTTTTTTTTTATAAAGGACAGATGCCTCTTTTTTTTTTTTTAATATTTATTTATTTATTTTATTGATGAGTACACTGTAGCTGTCTTCAGACACACCAGAAGAGGGCATCCAATCTCATTACGGATGGTTGTGAGCCACCATGTGGTTGCTGGGATTTGAACTCAGGACCTCTGGAAGAGCAGTCAGTGCTCTTAACCACTGAACCATCTCTCCAGCCCCCTTAGTGTTGATTCTTAATGCCGTCTGCTATATGAAGAAAAATCTCTCTTCTTGCTTCTGGAGAATAAATCAATAATAAACCTATTCTTTTCGGACAGGTATGCCAATGTGTTCCTGCAACCTGTTACAGATGACATAGCTCCTGGCTACCATAGCATTGTACAGAGGTAAGCCATCGTCCAACTAGCACATCTGACTTAAATTTGTGTGGACTTAAGTGAATTTTTGCCTTAGTATGTTTAAATCCAGGGTGGATTTTTTTTTGTTTTGATTTTTGTTGTTGGTGGTGGTATTGTGTTTTGAGAAAGGGTTTCACTATATATAGCCCTGGTTGGCCTGGAACTTTCTATAGACCAAGCTAGCCTCAAACTCACACAAAGTGAGTAATTTCTGCTTCCGCGAAGTGCTGAGATTGTTAAAGGCTCTGATTACAATGTTAAAACTTACATTGCAGTGACTGTATTACCATTAATAATGTAAAAGAATGAGCACCTGTCATTACTTTTCATGATGCCTGTTATACAGATTGGGAGTTGAGTACATGCTTTGGGATAATGGGTTGGTGTTTAAATCTTGGTAGCTGATACAGAAGGTATATATGAACAGGACTGTATAGTAGTACTATATTTTGAAATCCAAGTGAATCCTCTTCTCTCTGTGGCCAATTACCCTATTTATTTATTTATTTAGGCCTATGGATTTGTCAACTATAAAGAAAAACATTGAAAATGGACTGATACGAAGCACGGCTGAGTTTCAGCGTGACATCATGCTGATGTTTCAGAATGCTGTTATGTACAATAGCTCAGACCATGATGTCTATCACATGGCAGTAGAGATGCAGAGAGATGTTTTGGAACAGATCCAGGTACATTGGTGCTCATTTTTGTTTCAGTAGGGATGAAGGGCGGGGAAGAATTGATGACTTTTACTTGTAATAGGGCATCAGGAACATTGGTAAATAATTTTTTTCTTACTGATTGGTTTGATGGAAGAATTATGGTACAAATTCTATCTTTCGGGCTGGAGGTTTAAGAGTACTGATTACTCTTCCAAAGGTCCTGAGTTCAATTCCCAGCAACCACATGGTGGCTCACAACCATCTGTAATGGGATCTGATGCCCTCTTCTGGTGTGTCTGAAAATACACATAAAATAAATAAGTCTTTTTAAAAAATTCTGTTTTTCTTGGGCAAATGAATTCAGTTTTTGAAGGTTTTTGTTGTTGCTACTGCTCTTGTTGGTATCTAATAAACTAGTGCTTCATGGGGCCACACACATATGATGGTACCTCTGAGCTGTATCACATCCTCACCACACCCAGTTGATTCATGTTAGGAATCAAGCCTAGGGCTTCATGTATGCTAGACTAGCACTGTTCCATCTAAACTAGATCCCTAGCCCCCTTTGAAGTTTTCAAATCAGTGTATAAAGGGCTGATGTTATTAGTTACATAAAATACTGTGGCCCGTGTATTCCGCCATGAGCTTATAATTGCTGTGTATCACAAGTAGTCTACTTCAGTCTTACAGTTAATACACCACACACCCTTTGTGGTATTGATCGTGAAGCAATATTATATCTTTGTTAAGTTTGCCAAGTGACTTTAATTGCTGAAGCTACATTTCATTTCTGAATTCTTTAGGAGTGGCTAGAATTTAGCCTTTTAGTAGGCCAAAAAAATTGAGTAGAAGCGTGCTGTGTAAGTTCTGTTCACAAAATGTGATGAATGTTCATTCTTTCCTACTGGATTGGATCTTTATGGCCTCCCATTTTTCTCCCTGCAGCAATTCTTGGCCACACAGTTGATCATGCAAACATCTGAGTCTGGAATCAGTGCTAAAAGTCTCCGGGGGAGAGACTCTACCCGAAAACAAGATGCTTCAGAGAAGGTGAGCAGACCAAAAATGTTCAAAACATCCAGAGAACCTTAAGTTACTCTGATACTGCTAACCTTCTGTAAGCCAGTGGTATGCACATAGATGTTAGAATGGTGGTGGCTTGCTTCTGTCTAACTGTTGAAGAAATCTGCTATGACTGAGAGACCCAGTTACATGGGAGACAGTCTGAGCTGAATGAGTGAACTGTGAATCCCTGGAGAGGAGAGTGCTGTCAGAGTGGATCAGATGGATCAGTCAGCTCACAGCAGCTGGCTGCTGGATAGGCTAGATGGCTGTTGGGTCTTTCCTTTTGTTCTTGAGTTTTAACATTCTGTCTTTTGTGTGTGTGTGTGTGTGTGTGTGTGTGTGTGTGTGTGTGATGCTTTTGTCTCTGTCCTGAGGTTTGGGGTGCTTGTGGCTGAGAGTTTCTGTGGAACCTGATCAGTATTTGTTTGTCCTCTAACAGGACAGTGTCCCCATGGGCTCTCCTGCCTTCCTTCTCTCTCTCTTTGTAAGTATTGAATGGCTACAAGCGGTGATGTTGCCAGAAAGATTCTCAGCTCCTGCTGGGCCTGGGTGGCAGAGGGAAATCCAACATGCAGACTGTGGCAATGTCTTGAAATTCTTTTTATCCATTGAATAGGAAACTCTTTGTCTTCTTCATTCTGGTCTCTTTGCTTGTGTGAATGTGGAGGGAGGGTTGGTTGGGAGAGGCAACTTTAAGATCACTGGATTGAAGTATGAAATATTCTTGGGGTGAAGACATAGGATGCACCTGCTCCTCATTTCTTGCTTCCACCTTTTACCAACTCTTAACTTACAAATGGAAGACAGCTCAGAGCAGCAAGGGCAGGTGAGGTGATGCAGTGGATACAGGCACTTGCCATGGTAGTCTGCTGACCTGAGTTTGATCCCCAGAACCCCACTGAAGGCGGAAGAAGAGAACTCCACAGAGTTGTCCTCTGAGCTCCACATGTGCACCATGGCATCTGTGCTCCTACACACATGTCACATAACATAACAGGAATTCAAAACATGTTTTAAGATGTCAGTAATAGTGACCACCAGATACAATAATAGCTTGTGGATTATAGATAAACATAGTAGATCTAGCCCAAGGGCTTTTATTTTATTCCATGAATTAAATCACTGACCTTGTTCATGGTAGCAATGAAGTTAGGGAAAGAACTTGCTCAAAAACTATATGGTTCTAAGATCATTGGATAACCTTTGAGGGCCTTATTTTTTTCATCTATGTGATATAAGTAATTATGAGTTCAAGGCGTTAGAAGTAATTATGAGTTCAAGGCGTAACTAGTACACAGAGTAAGACCTTGTCTTAAAAGAAAGCAGGAGGGAATATAAGAGAGGTGACTCAGAAGTTAAGAACGCTTGCTGCTCTGAGAGGATCTGGGTTGGGTTTTCAGCAACCACCTGGTGGCTTATATCTACCTGTAATTCCAGCTTCAAGGAATCCAAAGCCCTTTTCTGGCCCTCACAGGCACTGTACACTTGGGGTGCACATATACACGTATAGGCAAAACATTCATACATATAAAACGAAAACAAGTCTTTTTAAAAAGAATAATTAAAAAAAAAAAGAATAAGATTGAGATACCTGTCCAGCCTACCTCACAGGGATGTTGTGAGGGTAAAATAAGTTATGAAACTAACTTGAAAAAAATTAAAATCTTACAAAAATGCAAGGTGTTATTTCTATTCTTACTGTTGGCTATTGGCAACTTATGTTCTAAAATTTTTTAATCCTTGCATATTAGAAATGCAAAACTGGTCTGGTCCAGCAAAAGTGTTCACTAGTTCATCTTGCTTGTAGACCTGTACCACAAGCAGAACACCGTGATCTCTATTCTTTCTTATTGGCCTGCAACAGTGACTCTGGATCCTCATTGGAGTGGCTGGCTATTGCAAGGCCGGTTAATAGGATCTTTTATCTATCGAAGACAGCAAAGTTTTGCACAAGAGGAAGGAGCTGGGCTGCAGGGAGAGAGCAGCAGATGGAATGAAGCCTGATTGTCCTGATGTCATGGAAAACAACTGTCAGGAGGTGCTAGGGAACTAGTGCCAGGGTCAGTCTGCAGGAAAGGCCTTTCTTATAGGGACCAACAACTGGACAGGTATGTTAGCCAAGCACCTCACTATCCACTGCCCTTTCTGCCTCTCCCACCTTTCATGTTCTCTACCTATTTCTTTTCATACAATTGAGCCTGGGTGGGATGACTGATAGTCATTCTGTGGGACCCCAGGTGAATTTTGAGGACCATGAAGAAAACAGTCTTACAATTCCACTCACAAAATACCAGGTGTTCTTTTAGCTACTCTGTGGGAAGACAGAAAACCCCTTCCACTTCATTTCCTTTGGTATTCTCTGCAGATTCTTTGCCCCAAGAAATAAAATTCCCAGCATTCCTGTTGTACCTCGTCTCTTACTATGTAAGCAACTCACTCGTATTTGTTTGTTTCCTTTCTTTGATGTTTAGGATGGGGGAACCAGGGGACGCCGCTGTGCCATTGAAGCAGATATGAAGATGAAGAAGTGAATACCCTCTTTGAGCTGACCCTGAAATAGAAATAACACGATAGTATAGCTTGGGCTTGTGGGCTCAGTTCCACACTTGATCTTAGTCAAAAGGCTGAGAAGCACTGAGTCCAGAAGTGGAGTTACAGAAGAGGAGGTGCCTGGGCCAAATGACATGAGTTGGGAAAATCTCTTTTCAGAGAGTTGGAGTAGCACAGTTGCCTGTTTTAGGGCAGAAATCATGGGCTGCATTAATGCCCTAATGTGTAACTAGAGATTGTAGCTGATTTGTACTGTCTTGTGAAGTGTACAGATTTTTTTAAAAAAAAAAAATAATAATAAACCTGTGAAATGTGTGTATATAACAATCAGAAGGAAAACTCTGGCCTTTGGTGTGTCCTTTGTGTTTGAGGTGTTTTCTTTCCCATGATAACTGAGCATCCATCTATGGATAAGGTTGTTAGAGCGGAGACGTAGTCCTACAGCTACCTGCCATGACTGAGGAGGTGAGTAGCCAAGACCAAAGTCAGAATTAATTGTGTAAAAGGGATTATTTGACTATTTTACTGGGCATTTCTCGAGAATGTTTGGGGAATATTAAGGTTTTCAGGATCTGATTATATTTCTTAGGGATTAGAGCATGGACAAATATAGCAGATATGTCAGATGACAGTAGTATCTTTGCCCATGCTATCAGTGATTCTATAGGTAGAACTCTTGTGCAGTATTTTTTTGGTTATTTTGAGATAGAGTCTCCCTTTTTGATAAGGCTAACCTAGAGCTCAAAACCTGTCAATTTGAACTTTCTCAATAGCTTGGATTACAGATGTGCGAACCACACTAGTCCAAAAGTACTTAAAGCAGAATTGACTGTGAAATTTACATAAATCTCTGAGGGGTGTGAAAGTTGGGGCTGGAATATGTTCTGGTAGTATAATGATACAGTGCTGGGAGAAAGCACTTAAAAACAATGTGGAAACATACCAATAATCCCAGCATTTGGGAAACTGAAGCAAGAGAATAGCTGACAGTTTGAAGCTGGCTTCGGCTGCAGAGGGAGACATTGTCTCAAAGCAATGTATTAGTGGGCCTGCATGGTGTCTCAGTGGGTTCAGACACCTGCTAACATGCCTGACCACCTGAGTCTGAGCTCTGAAACCCACACGGTGGGAGGAAAGAACTGACTCCTGCAAGGTGTGCTCTGACCTCCACGCTTAGTGCCGTTTGTGTGTGTGTATATATATGTATGTATGTGTGTGTGTGTGTGTGCGCACAAATGTAATTAAAATTTTTAAATGTGTTAAAGATAATATGACCTCAGTTCTAATTTTTGTTACTAAATAAAACTTTGATTCAGCAGTGAAATGAACTAGTATGAGCCTTTTAAAGAATAAAGTGAATTATAGGACACTCTATATCTTGAAAAGGGTTTAAGAAGAAGATTCTTAAATCCAGGTGTAGTATTGTACACCTTTAATTACAGGACTCCAGAGACAGAGCCAGGTAATTTCTTGTGCATTCGAGGCCAGCCTGGTCTACATAGTGAGTTTCAGGCTAGTCAGGGCTACCTAGTGAGACTCTGTCATTTAAAAAAATAATAATAAAGGATATGGTAGAAGTCACAGATCTTAACTCCCTAAAGAGGAGCTACTGATAAAATTTGAGGGCTTGGAAAGTCGCTTAGAGTTTATGGAGGAAGCCTTGGATTTTATCCCTAGCCTTTCATTTACCATTGTGACACAAGCCTGCAATCCTGGCACTCAGGAGGTAGAGGGAAGATCGGCTCAAAGGGATAATTGGCTACATAACAAGATTAAGACTACAAGATATACAAGACCCTGTTCAAAAATTTAAAATTTGTTAAACTAAGGGACAGATTAGGCTTTGAGGTGATAGAAAATTCAATCAGTTCAGGAATTAAGACTCAAAGCAGTTCACAAACTGAGGAGGTACAAATATCAAGGCACTGGAATTTGGAAAACTGCTAGGTATAGGGACTCACACTTTAATCCCAGCACTGCAGAGGCAAAGGCAAGGGAACCTAGAGTCAAGTCAGCTTGGCCCAGGAAAATCCCAGACTAGCTAGGGCTGCATGGTTGAGACCATATCTCAAAATTAAGTTGGAATTGTTTGTGGATATAATACATTAAAAAATAAATTTTTGGTTGGTAGGAAAGCTTACTAAGGTTGGGGCAAAAATGAGACATAATTAGGAGTGAAGTACAGATGAGACGGGACACTCCACCTAGTGGTGGAGGCTAGAAAGCTAGGCATGGTGGTACAACTTGGTAATTTCAGCCAGCACTTGAAAAGCTTAAGTAGAATTTTGAGTTTGAAGACAAGAGTAAGGCTTTTAAAAGCGGGGCGGGTGGGATGGAGAGTGTAGTGTGTACTGCTCTTCCAGAGAACTTGAGTTCAGTTCCTAGCACTTACATCAGGCCACTTAAAACTAACTCCAACAACTGAGGATCCAACATTTTACACAGGCATATATGCATAAACAGTAATTTTAAAGTTTTTTTTAAACCAAGGGAGTAACTTGAACAAGAAAAAGTTGAAACTTTAAAGGAATTAATGACAGCAGAAGACCAAGCAAGAACTCAAGAAAAGAAGACTTGTTGAAAGCCATAGCTAGATGCTGGGAACGTAGCTAGGTCATCTAATATTGCAGGAAACCCTGGATTTCATTCATAGCACCAAATAAAACCAGATCATTTTCAGCTTCCTACTGACTGCGAGGTTAGGCTACGTGAGACCCTGTCTTTAAAAAAGAAAAAAGAAACTTGGAGGAAAAAAAAGAAATGTAATGGACAAGAGAAGGTGGTTAAAATCTGTTTTGGGCTGGAGAGATGGATCAACATGTTGAAAGAGTGCTTGCTGTTCTTCAGAGGACTGAAGTTTGACTCCCAGCACCCACATCAGGTGGCTTACCATCACCTGTAATGCAAGGGATCCAATCCCTTCTCTTCTGGCCCCTATGGACTCCTGTACACGTATGGTATTCATTCACTCACACACACAGACACACCACGTTAAAGAAAATAAATCTAAAACTTCCAAATAAATGAATGAACCAATGAATAAAACTCAAGTGTTTCTGTTTTTATTCTGGCAGTCAGATATATGACCAGAAGGATACCAAAAGTAACCATGAGTATTTTGAAACTAATGATTAGTAAGTTAATAATAGATTAATATTGGTATGCACTAAGGAAACCCTTTTTATCCTTAAGTTTATTGTCTTTAAGTTCTTGGGCAATTTGTGATAAAGCAAGTCAAGACAGCTATGTTCTAATTCTCTTAGAGTATGAACAAATCCAAGTTTTAAAATGGGGTAATATAAACATGAAGCTATTTTTCCCAAGACATAAAAATTTTTTTTAATCTATTGTTTTCCTTTCGCTAGATTTTATGCCTCCTAATGAATAGACATTTCTGGACTTTTTCTATGAACTTGGGAGATAGGGGTGTAATGGGAGTGTTGATTTGAATGATTTTTTTTTACATTAACACATATTTTTCTGTGTGTTTACAGGTAGGGTGTGAGTGGGTTTGGTTGGATTCTGGACAAGACTATCGTGATGACTCTGAGTTGAGCAGTGACTGCAGGTCCCTCTTCAGCTCTTTGGATTCCAGCCTGGATCTTGATGTGGGCAGCTGGAAGGACACTGAGGATGCAGAGGCTGATGAGCTGGAGGAAAGCAGTCCAGAGAAAGAATCTAGCGAGCTTCTTGTGGAAGATGTCGAGAGTGAAGAACCTCAGGAAGAGGCAGAAAAAGACACATCCCAGAACCTCCTCCACCTCCTCTCTGAGGTAATGGTGAAGCTATTGTTTCCATAGCTAGAAAGACCATACTTTTTTTCCTTTTCCTTTTAATTCTCCTTCCTTCCCCTCCCCTCCTTCCTCCCTCTTCCTCTTTCCCTTCCTTCTCTTGTCTTTCCTTTTGAGATCAGATCTGGCCACTTAGCCCTGGGGACTCTTGAGACCCCTCCGCTTCAGCTTCATCGTCCCAAGGCCTGGAACTTTCCACCACCACGTCCCACCCAACTCTTCACAAGAATGCTTACCCTTGAGTGTTCCTACGACTTACTATCGTTTACTGAAACAAAAGCTCAGGCGCTAAAGAGATGACTCAGTATTTAAGAGCACTGCTGCTCTTGCAGAGGAGTAGGGTTCTCAGCATCTAGAGCTCACAAATGCCTGTAACTCCAGCTCCAGGGGACCCAATACCCTTTTCTGGCCTCTAAGGACACCAACATACATGTGTTATGACTCAGAAGCACACACATAAATAAAAATCTTTTTTGTATGTATGTGTGATGTATGTATGTATGTATGTATGTATGTATGATGTATATATGTATGTATGTATGTTTCTTTCAGACAGGATCTCACTATGCAGCTTTGGTTATCCTGGAACCCACTATGTAGACCAGGCTGGTCTCAAACAGATCTGCCTGCCTCTGTCTTCTGAGTGCTGGAACTAAAGGTGTGCACCACCAACCCCAGAAAATAAAAATCCTTGAAAAATAAAATCAAAATACAAATTCCACTATGCCAGTGGTTGATTGATTGCTATACCCCCAGCACTTGCTTCTGTTATAGAATATACACCAAATGTGTAGCTTGCAACTAAATGTCCTAAATCCACAGTTTTTAGGACACTGGGTCTCAGGGAGTAGAATTTTGACACGCCTTATGATGAGTGTTCTTGCCATATGTTCAAGTGCCATTACCTTGGTTGAGGGCAGAGGATCAACAGATTGAGACAGTGAGGTTATATTTATTCTACAGATGAGCACATTCAAGAGAATTACATCAAGTTCCGCAAGTATCAGTTCAAATATTGCTACTTCTATAGAAGGAATGGATTTCAGATTTTCTTGGTTAATAGTATAATATTATATATATAATGAGAGTATAATTTGAAAGAGCCAAGAACTATATTGACGTGTTCACTATAATGACCCCAGCAACTAACCCAACCAGTGCCTTTAATACAATTTAATGACTGAATGATTGACTGAGTTAAATCCACTTGCTGTCTTAGACTTAGTCGTGCTGACAGTGTGAGCATGTGGTACTACTAATGCATGGTGCCAGTTTCCCCTGCTGTCCCTTTTCATCTAGTAATGAACTTTGATCACAGGTAGCTTATTTAATTAATGGAGCCATTGTGCATTACAACAAAGAATCAAGTGAAACCTGTTGCACTTCCTCCGGAACCTGGCAATAGGAGGGAAGAGTAATGAGAATTCTCCACGTGAAAGAAGAGCCCTGCAGGCAGACTGAAGAGCAAAACTAGACTTAGTGCTGAGAAGCAGCTCCTGAGAGGTTCTGGAAAGCCAGAGGCAGCTCCTGCCCTTGCACATAGTTACGCCGTAAAGGGAATGTCCAGAGTGGAGAGGTAACATGCTTAGATCACCTGATCTTCACAGGGAGGTGGAGCAGAGAGGCTAGAACACAAGGCTTAACCCCAAAGACTTAGAGAAAATTCTTGTGTCCAAAGTCTGGCTTTAGCACGAGTTCTAGCCGTGTGATCTTCAGGATCTTCAGTATGTTACTGGATATTTAGAACCTGTTTTCTCTGTTCCAAACAGATCAGTGTGTTCTACTTGGAATACTAATTGTGTGTGTGTGTGTGTGTGTGTGTGTGTGATTTAAGTGTAAGAATTCAGCCTGACTTTGTGGCACACCCCTGTAATCCTAGCACTCGGAAGGCAAAGGCAAGAGGATCAGAAGTTCAAGGTCACCCTTGGTTACATAATGAACTTCAGACTAGCCCAGGCTACATGACACCCTGTTTTAAAACACAGACTGGCCTGGCAGTGGTGGCACACGCCTTTAATCCCAGCACTTGGGAGGCAGAGGCAGAGGCAGGCAGATTTCTGAGGTCAAGGCCAGCCTGGTCTACAGAGTGAGTTCCAGGACAGCCAGAGCTACACAGAGAAAACCTGAGAAAACCTGTCTCGAAAAACCAAAAAAAAAAAAAACAACCCACAGACAGGGAGGGCTAGGGGTGAGCTCAACTGTGTAGCCCTGGCTCTCCTGGAACTCAATATGTAGACCAGGTTGGTCTTGAACTCAGAGATCTCCCTAGATTAATATAATTAATCTAGGTAGGTAGATTGCTTGCTCAGCATACATACATAAAGCCCCGGTTTGAACCAGTGTACCAAATAGGAAGGGTATGATGTTGCACACTTGTAATCCCAGCAGCCACGAGATGGCAGCAGGAAGATCAGATATTTGAGGTTATCCTTAGCTACACCTGGAAGTAAATAAGATTGGGGTGTAAACAGGCAAACAAGACAATTCAGCAGGCTTTAGTGATGCATACCCATAGTCCTAGCTACTCAGGAGGCTGAGGTACAAGAATCACTTGAACTTGGGGATTGAGATCTGCTTGGACAAGACAGTAAGACCTATCTCAAACCAATAAATAGGTAAACAGCTAAATAGGAAAATAAGGGCCTGTGAGATGGCTCAGCAACTAAAGGTGTTTGCTACCAAGTTTGAAGACCCAGGTTCAATCCCCACACCAACATATTGGAAGGAGAGAACTGACTGCTGAAAGAACTGACTCTGATCTCCACATATTCTTGTGTGTGTGTGTGTGTGTGTGTGTGTGTGTGTGTGTGTCTACGCGTACATGTATACAAATGTAATAAAAACAAAATAAATAGAGAACTAAGACAGCTCATGGCAAGCATAATGCATGGTTCATAATGATTGTTATTGCCAGGAGGTGACGTGTATGCCTTTAATTCCAGCACTCCAGAGACAGAGGCAGGGAGATCTCTGAGTTCAAGACCAACCTGGTCTACATATTGAGTTCCAGGAGAGCCAGGGCTACACAGGAAAGCCTTGTCTACAAAAACAAAAACAAAAAAAAACTTGTTATAGATTATGGATGGGAGTTGCCTCCTCCTGACATCTCTCCTCATATCCCTCCTGACATTGCTCTGATATCCCTCCTGATATCCCTCTGATTCTAGCTGCATCCTGTTCTATGACCTCGGGGAGCATTTACCCCCAACACAAATAGAGGATTATTTTCAGCTGACAAGAAAGCAAAAGCAGAAAACCCACCTTTGAGAGTGAAAGTCTAAACTAAGTGGCAGTAACCTGTTGCCCCTGATATCTGGCCTTAGAAGTTTTGATCTCCTGTCTTAACCTCATAGCCCACTCTGGGTGCCGGGCTCTTGAGGGGTCTCTTTCCTGGAATAGGCAGTAGCTTTCTTAGAAGATGTCTTTACCCACAATGTAGATTATAACAACTATCTCCATTAAACGTGAGAGTATGTGGAAATGTAAAACTCCCTAAAGTTGAAAAGTTTCGTAGGGGAAAGGGCAATGGGGCCCTGCTTGTACCCCCCAGGGAGGTGTCCAAACTGAGGCCTATTTTAGTTTCTTTTTTTCATGTTAAGGATAGAACTTAGAACTTCAAGCATGCTGGTCAAGCACTCTACTGACCTACAGCCCCAGTTAGTGTGCTATAACCAGCTACAAGGCCTCTTGTTATTTAGCTTTCCCAGTGTTCCCCAAACCTTGCCATTTTTCTCCTAACAGTTGTCTTAGCCCTAACATACATAATCAGGAAGTTTAGAATCTCATCGTTGATATTATCTGGTGGGCTAGAATAGCTGATTTTAAGACCACAGGTTATAGTGAAGCGTTGATTATTAGTTGTTTTTTTTTTTTGGTGGTGGTGGGGGAGTTGTTTTGTTGATTGTTGGTTTTTTCCTATAGAGGTCAATGTCAAACTTAAAATTGAGTAAATTCACTTTTTCATCTTGAATCCATTTTTAAATTGCTCAGATTATCATTGAAAACTTTATTGACTTGTCTACTGAAGTCACCTTTCTCTAATTTTTCTGGTGTCTTCATAGAATTAGCCTCTTCTTATATTAAGGTCTGCCTTCATTTACTCTGTGTAAGTAAAATTATCATGCAGATAGTAACTCTCTAAAATTCCTGGTGCTTCTTGGATTTCCCAGGGGGAAGCTCAGCAAGTCTCAAAAGAGGACAATCAAGGCGAAGGGTCTGCTTCAGATGGAGAAGACACGCCCCCTTTAGGTGAGGGTCGTGACGGCATCCGAGTTCAGGAAGCTCCCCTCGTGAATATCCTTTACAACTGTACTAACTCCTCACAACTGTAAGTATAGGGCTGGGCTGTCGCTGAATGGTAGAGTGCTTGTGTAACACACTCAAAGTCCTGCGTGTGGCCCCCAGCACTGCCAGGGCCACTAACATAGGTCTACCTCCAAGAGTACTGGGATTCATACTTTTATTTCTTTCTCTTTAAAATTACTTGAATTCATTACTATGAAACAAATTGTTTTATAAGTTTTTTTTTTATAAAGAAGTTACAGGTGGAAAACCTTTAGAATTTTTTCAACAAGGTTCTCATTATGTTACCAAGGCTAAAAATCAGGTTAAATTTTTAACGTACTATAAATAGAGATTTATATGCTATTCTATTATAAAACAAGCCTGTTTTGGAACTGGAGATATGGCTCAGTGGTTAAGAGTACTTGTTACTTTTGCAGAGGACCTGGGTTCAGTTCTCAGCTCACAGCTGCCCTTAACTCTAGTTCCAGGGAAAATGATACCCACTTCTGACTTCCTTCAGTACCAGGCAGATACACAATACTAATATATACATGCAAGCAAAACACCCATAGGTATAAAATTAAATAAATGTTTTTAGCTGGGCAGTGGTGGCGCACGCCTTTAATCCCAGCACTTGGGAGGCAGAGGAAGGCGGATTTCTGAGTTCGAGGCCAGCCTGGTCTACAGAGTGAGTTCCAGGACAGCCAGGGCTACACAGAGAAACCCTGTCTCGAAAAACCAAAAAATAAAATAAAATAAAGTAAAATAAAATAAATGTTTTTTAAGCTGTTTTGTTGACATTGGTCTCATGGATGGGTGTGTAGCTCAGTGGTAGAGCACTTCCTTAGTAGATGCTTCCTAGGTTCAGTTCGCAGCACTGTGAAAAAGAGGGGAAAATAGAGTCTTTTCCACAAATTAACCTTCTTAATAATTACTGGTTTCATTTACTTTGGAAATGATACTAAGTGATCTACTATTATAAAAATATACCTTAAAAAAAAGCTATTGAAACAGGCCGGGCAGTGGTGGTGCAGTCTTTAATCCCAGCACTCGGGAGACAGAGGCAGGAGGATCTTTGAGTTTGAGGCCAGCCTGGTCTACAGAGTGAGTTCCAGGACAGCCAGAGATATATAGAGAAACCCTGTCTCAAAAACAACAACAACAAAAAACTAAAATAAACAAACCAACCAACCAAACTTAAAAACCTATTGAACAAAAACAGGGCCAGGAGTGCATCCTGTAATCTCAGCATTAGGAAGGCAGGAATAGGATAATAGCTGAAAGTTAAAGGTCGACATGATCTTCTACATAGTGAGTTCCAGGACAACCAGAGCTATAGATTAAAACCATGTCTCAACATTAATTAATTTTATAGATAAGTGTTTTTAAAAATGATTACATTTTTTTCTAAGACAGGGTCTCATGTAGTCCAGGCTACCTTCAAATTAGCTATGTAGTTGAAGATGAAATATTGATCTTCTTTTTCTATCTTCCAAGTGTTAGAAACCATCATCCCTGGCTCTTTGAGATTAAAGTTTATACTTTCCCTTTATCTTGCACATACATTGGGAAAGTGTTAATATAATTGTTTTATTTTTTATAGGTAATTGAGGCACTGAAGACCATATTTTATCTCTATCTATTCTAGAAAAAAAAATGGTCTTACTAGACAAGTCTTGCTCTCCTTGCCTTGTAATGCTCCTGCCTCTGACTCCTCAGTGCCAGGATGACAAGTGTTCCATCATGTCTTGCTCAGATTGTTTACTAGAAAGCAAAAACTAGCCATGTATGTTGGTGCAGGCAGGCTGTAATTTCAGCACTCTGAGAGGCCGATGCTCTGAACTATATAATAAACCTGTTTTCATGTGACATTATTACTGGGGAAATGTGAACAAACATCTATTTACTCCACTAGGGAACTGATGACAGAACAGAGGAATGGGACCTCCAGAGTCCAACCTGGAGAACTAAGTAAGGAGTTTGCTGGGGTCATTGACTCAAAAATAGGGGAGGGATTTCCTACAGGAGAATGGACGTCACAGAGGCAGCTGTGTCCCTGAAACTCTTCTCATACTGGGTAACAGCTTGTGAAAGATGAAACCTTGGATCATCTTCTGTTCAAGTGTAGGCAGCTCAATAAATTGGGGCATCTCCTCAGAAGTCCTTACTATGTATATAATTTTGTGGGGGAGGGTCCTGTGAAACTCTTCTGTTCTGAAGTTTGCCAGTCCTGAGATTTGCCAGTTGTTTCCTTACTGAGCTTACTGAGCCTCCTTTAGAACTCCCCAAGTCTTGTTTGTTTGTTCGTTCGTTCATTTGTTTTGTTTTGAGACAAGGACTCAAGTATACATAACCCTAGCCATCCTGGAACATTCTATATAGACCAGGCTGGCCCAAACTCACAGAGATCCACCTAGCTCTACCTCCCAAGTGCTGGGATTAGAGGCGTGTGCCCACATGCCTGGCAACTTCCTGGGTCTTTAAGGAGTTTCACTTCAAAATGGAATGTTTCAATTCAGAAAAAAAAATGCATATATCTTCTCTATCTAAAAGAAAAAAGAAGGAAAGAAAGAAGAACGGGAGGAAAGAAGCAGAAAGGAAAAGAAAGCAGTAGCACAGCAGTCGTGATGTCTGCTGACCAAATTCCCTTTCTGTTTATTTGGTTTTTGAACAGAGTCTCATGCAACCCAAGTTGGCCTAGAACTCTGTATGTAGGTCAGAAGGAGCTCAAACTTCTGATCCTGTTGCTTCTACCTCCTAAGTGAGGTGATAGGCTTAGCCAATTATCATAAGGAGAGATAGAAAGTTGAAGCAGAAGTTTAAAACTCCTCTAAAAAACTGTCCCATCGCTGGGCTTGGTGCCTCATACTTATAGTCCCAGAATTCACTAGCTTCCTGGTTGACCAACAGTCCCTGGGGTGGGAAGGTGGAGGTACTCCCCAGTCGTAGAGCTCGTTGATAGAGCTCTTGGCTAGCACACTCAAGGTCTATGTTCTAGCATTGGAAAAGAAAACAGACATTCTCCAGACTCTCTTCTCACCCATTCCTTAGTCCTACTGACAGGGACCAAAGAAATGGGGTCTTTTAGGTTCCACTTCTACTACACAGGTACTATTAACGCCCTTGCTTTTACTATTTATGTTGCTTGATATATCTCCATATAGGTAAAATAAAGCGAAGATAGAAATTCTTAAAGTATGCACAGTTGGTTAATTTTTAGTTTATAAAACCATCCATAGTACATATAGTGGATATATTAAATACTTACTATGTAAATGTATGAAGTTCTACAATCTAGTACAAAGGAGCTATTGCTAATTTAGTCTGAGTGATCTCCCATCCACCCTCCTGTAAACAAACCTAATGACACTCATTGGGACACACTCACCCATATCCACACATGTACAATCCCCCACATACCCACACACACATATACACACACATCCCACCCACCGACCCACACCCACACATACACCCCCCACCCCCACCCACACACATACACACACATACAGCCACATACACACATACACCCCCACATACACACATGTATACACTCCCCCCACACATACCCACACACACATCCCCACCCACATACACACACACACAGAAGTAGAAGTGAGGCTATCTGGGAAAAGGAAGGAGATTAGCAGGAGTTGGAGGAGGACAAGAGATGGTGAGGGGTGGTGAAGATGATTGAAATATATTAATGTGCATGTATGAAAATGTAATGAAATCCATTATTGTGTATAATTAATATATGCTAATAAAAACGTTAAATAAAATAGGAATGGCTGGAGAGATGGCTCAGCAGTTAAGAACACTTGCTACTGCTACTCTTGCAGAAGACCCAAGTTCGTTTCCCAGCACCCATATCCGGAGGCTCACAACCATCTGTGACTCAGCGCCAGGGAATCTGATGCCCTCTTCTGGCCTTCTCTGGCACTGCACTCATGTACACAGAAACACACAGACTTACAAAACAAAAATAAAATCTTAAAAATTAAATAAAATAGGAAAAAAGAAAAGAATTTTGTGCTTTAAATGTCTTATTTGGATAGTGGGTTTTTTTGGTAAATAATAGCTTTTAGGAATAAATTGAGTAAAGATCATAGTAAAACTATATGATTTGATGGTACACAATTTAGATCCAGGTGAGGCCAAGTGTGGTGTGCAAGCCTTTATCCCAGCTCTTAGGATATAAAGGCAGGTAGATCTCTGTGAGTTCAAGGCCAGCCTGGTCTACATAGCAAGTTCTGGGCTAGCCAGTGATACTTAGACCATATCTCTAAATAGATTAGTAAATGATTTAAATAGTGCTGGAGAGATGAACAGCAGCTATAAGTACTGCTGCTCTAGTAGGGACCAGAGTTTGGTTACCAGCACCCACAAGGTGGCTCAAAAACACCTGTAACTTCAGTGCCAGGGGATCCATGCAATCAACACATTCATACACATCAAATAAAAATAAAATAAGTACAAAAATTGAATATAGACACAGGTGAAGTGTTATATTAGATGTTGAAGATAGCTGTTAGGAGGTATGAAAACTGAAGAGATGACAGGAATCGTAGTATCACATCAATACATACCATTTGGTATACAACACAAAATGATAATGTGATTTTTTTCCTGAGACAGGGTCCCATGTAGCCCAGGCTAGCCTTGAATTCTCTGTGCAGTCAAGGATGATAAACTTCTGATCTTCCTGCTTCTGTCTCCCAAGTGCTGGAATTACAGATGTGCCACCATGCCTGATTTAGAGAATGTAGAAATTTAAGTGTTAAGAGAATGTTTTCGCCAGTCAGTGGTGGCGCACGCCTTTAATCCCAGCACTTGGGAGGCAGAGGCAGGCGGATTTCTGAGTTCGAGGCCAGCCTGGTCTACAGAGTGAGTTCCAGGACAGCCAAGGCTACACAGAGAAACCCTGTCTCGAAATACCCCCCAAAAAAAAGAAAGAAAGAAAGAAAAGAAAAGAAAAAAGAAAAGAGAGAATGTTTTCAAGGGAATTATACAGCACATAATGTGGAATACATAACATAGACTCTCAACTTTGGAGTAAACAGGGAACTTTTCTTTCTTTCTCCCTACATCCTCTGCCCTGACACAGGGTTTCTGTGTAGTCCTGGCTGTCCTGGAACTCACTCTGTAGACCAGGCTGGCCGCACACTCAGAAATTCACCTGTTTCTGCCTCCTGAGTCCTGAGACTAAAGGTGTGTGCCACCTCCACCTGGCTCAACAGAAAAATTTTCAACTGGGAAAATTATAAGGTGAGATAAAATATTGAACTATTATATCTTGAAAGAAAAGCAAAATTAGAGAATTTAGCCCAAGGAAGGGAGTATCATAAGGAGAAATGAATCTATAGTAGGTGTTATGAGGCTATGGTTATAGCTCAGTGATAGAGTAGTTGCCCAGAAGACAAGATGTCCTAGTACCTAAATAAATCAGTATTAAAAAATGGAACTTGGGTCAGAGAGGAGACTCAGTGTGTAAGGGCACTTGCCGCCAGCCTGCAGATGGAGGTCAGTCCCCAGGACTCACAGGGTGGAAGAAGAGGACTCACTCCTTCAAGTTGCCCTCTAACCTAATATGTGTGTGCACGTGTGTGTGTGTGGATGTGTGTGTGTGTGCACACACACACACACACATCCACACACACTATAAAATAAATTAGGAAAAACCCTAAAACAACTAAGATTCCTATACAGAAGAGGGCTGAGGGCTACAGACTAGAATGCATGAGGGCTTGGGTTTAATCTCCAGAACAGAGAGGAAAAAAAAGAAAAAGTTCAGTTAGGAAACACAGCTTGCACCCAGAACTACTCGAGGGCAAAAGGGCCCACTTGAGAATGAGAGCAGAGGGTGGCCATTATTAAGAGGGTTGCTGAGGGGACTAGCATATTTCTACTGTGTAAAGCAGGCACATGCAGCCTGATACAAGTCGGGGTCCCAGGCTGCTGACAGGTTTCTAGGTACATTGTTCAGAGAAGGATGTGTGTGCATAGTATATTTGGGTAAGGGCTACCAGATACATTCCTAGAAAAATGGTTGGTGTGTGTATAGCCCAAGGAAGTAGAGTTTCAGATTGCTAAACTTGCCTGCCTCTAATGAGGCATACAGAGAAAATAAAAAGGAAAAATATCTAGTTGAGTGTTGGTGGCACATACATTTAATCCCAGTACTTGGAGGCAGAGGAGGCAAATCTGAGTTCAAGGCTAGGCTGGTATATAGAGAAGGTTCCAGAGAAACCCTATCTCAAAAAAAAAAAAAAAGAAAAAAAGAAAAAAAGAAAAGCCCCAAAGCAAAACAATCCCCTTCCCAAAACAAAAAACGAAAAGAAAAAAAGAGAAATATTTAATTTTAGAAATATTTTAATAAAGCATAAGATAATTCTTTGATATACGAGGAATAAATTAATAGTATCTACTATGTGTCAGGTGGCTATATGCACTTAGGAAGACAAAAACTGGACAAAAACTTTTTTTCTTTTTTTAAAGAAATCTTTTTTTTCTTTTGAGGGAGCGTCTTATGTAGCCCAGATTGGTCTTTAACTCATTCTACAGCCTTGAACCTCTGGTCTTCCTGCTTTTACTTCCAAAGTGCTGGGTTATAGGTGTGCACCAGCCTGCCCACTTCAAAAGCCACTTTATAGATCAGTTCTGTACAATCACAGGTACAACTGAACAGGAATACACAAGGCACAGATAAGCCAGGCAGACACCTGCAAGCCCAGCATTTGGAAAGCTAGAGATTCAGGATAGAGGCTGAATGACCAGTTTAAAGCCATCCTGGACAAAACACTGGAGGTTTTTTTTTTTTTTGTCGTTGTTGTTTTGTTTTATTGTTTTTGGTTGTTTTTCAAGACTGGGTGTGTAGCTTTCAAGACTGTCCTGGAACTCACTCTGTAGACCAGGCTGGTGGCTGGTAGCTGGCTGGGATTAAAGGCATGTGCCACCACTGCCTGGCTATAAGCAGAGATTTTTAGAATAGACTTGACTACATAGTTGACCCTTTCTCCAAATACCAGGGTAGGTGGAAGGGAGAAGAGAAAAAAGAAAAGGGCACAAGCAATTTGAGATTTGTAGTGAACACTTACCCAGCATGGTGGCTTAAACCTATAATGTAAATATTGTAGAACATGGAGGAAGGGATGGTTAGTAGTTCAGGGTTATCTTCAGTTACATTGCTAGTTCAAGGCCAGCTGTTTTACACAAGACCCTATCTCAAAAGAAAAAGAGAGAAATAGGAAATAAGTCAATGAAGGTAACCACTTCATTGGGTAGTAGTGACATAGTTTATTGTGGCTGGAGAGAGATGGTTCAGCAGCTAAGAGCCCTTGCTGCTCTTGTAGAGGACCTGGGTTCAGTTCCCAGCATTCATAAGAGGCAGCTGACTACCACCTATGCCTCCACTATCAAGGGCACCCTATTGCGCTCTACTGGTACCAGTTCATTCTTGATGCGCATAAATTCACAGGCATACACAGAGGCACATCAAAGAAAATGTGTTAAAGAATATATAGTCTACTCTCCTTTATAAAAATATTAAGTACATTTTCATACCTATGATACTATATTCCTTCAAATGCATAATTAGGAGCTCTAAGGCTTGAGAAAGCCTCACTACCCACCTAGTGAGACACAGTACCACTTATGAAGCGACTGTCTCTTTTCTGTCATGTATTCTGTAGGAATGACCTAAGCCAAGGTGATCCTATTCAGGATCATTTCCTATTTAAGAAGACTCTTTTGCAAGTCTGGAAGATGATTGCCAGTCACAGGTAGGTTTCAAAAGGGAGATTATCTCTGGAACCAAAACACATACTTGGATATGAGCACAGAAGGGGATATGTCCATCCCTCATGCAAGCCACAGTTGGGGTGTGGGTTGCAGTTTAGCTGGTGATGAGCCTGCACAGAGTGCATGAAGTCCTAGGTTTCATCTGAGCATAGCAAACACTGGCTTGGACCACATAAGCCTACCATCCCAACCTTAGGGATATGGAAGTATATGCCTCCTTCCCATATGTAGATTTTCTTTCCCACAGTAACAGGTCCTCAGAGCAATGGACATGGCTCAGTTGGCAAAATGCCTGCCTAGCAGTCATGAAGACCTAGATTTAATCCTCAGTGTTGCATATACCTGTATACAGGGATACACCTATAGTTCCGGCACTTGAGGAGTCAAGGTAAAAGAATCAGAAATGCGTGGTCATCCTTTATAGTATAGCAAGTTTGAGGCTAGCCTGAGCTATATGAGACCCTGCCCCAAAACAAATTACTAGAGAGGGAGAACTCAGCAGGTAAGAGTGCTAGCTGCTCTTGTAGATGAATTAGGTTCAGTGCCCAGCACCCACAGTGCCCAGCACTCAAGTTCCAGGGCCTCAGATGACCTCTTCTAGCTTCTGTGGGCACTACAAACATGTACACATATGCATGGACTCAAAACATTCATACACACAACATGAAATAAATATTTTAAAAGGGAAACTAAAAACTAGGGTCTTGGAAAACTTGAACAAATTTGTGAGCCTTTAATTTAAAAAGATCATGATGAGCAAGGCATGGCATGGGTGGTACACTTGAACCCCAGCACTCAAGAGGCAGAAGCAGGAGGATCTCTGTGAGTTTGAGGCCAGCCTGGTCTACAAAACAAGTTCCAGGACAGCCAGAGCTATACAGAGAAACCTTGTCTTGAAAATTAAGAGAGAAAGAAAAGAAAGGGAGGGAGGGAGGGAGGGAGGGAGGGAGGGAGGGAGGGAGGGAAAGAGGAGGAAAGAAAGAAAGAAGGAAGGAAAGAAAGATTATAGTAATAGTTAAAATATTCCACAGGTTGCCCCCCCCACCTCTGCCCTATATTCTTGCTGTTTGGAAAGTCAACAAGAAGTCATATGTCATCATTGCTGCTTATTTGTTCTCTCTCTGTAGCCTGGCTCACCTAGAACTCGATATGCTGTCGAGGCAGGCCTCCAGCTCTTGGTGATCCTCCTGTCTCAACTTCCTTAGTGCTATGGAGCCACTATGCCTAGTTCCGCTGCAGTTTAAGTATTCTTGTTACTTGCCACCTGTCTCCTTACGACTGACTCAGCAGGCTGCTTTGTCCTCTTTGGGTTTGTTTCTTAACAGGTTTAGCAGCCCATTTCTGAAACCTGTGTCAGAAAAGCAGGCCCCCGGATACAAGGATGTGGTGAAAAGGTCAGTAGGAAAGGGGCCAAGGGAAAGGTTGGTCACCTTTTTGTTTGTTTGTTTGTTTGTTTATAGACAGTGTCTCATGGAGCCCAGGGTAGCCTTAAACTGGCTAGATAGCTGAGGATGCCCTTGACCTCCTGACCCTCCTGACTCCAATCCCTGAGTTTTGGGATTATAGGCTTATACTACCATGCTAGATTTTTGTGGTGCTGAGGGTTAGACCCAGGGCTCAGTGTGTGCTAGGTACTGCCAGCTGTACTACAACCCCAGGCTGGCTCAGCTCTTCTCTTTGTTGTTTTTGTCTTGTGGGTTGCATGTAGCCCAGGCTGGCTCAGCTTTTCTGTTTGTTCTGTTTTGTGGGTTGCATGTAATCCAGGCTGGTCTCAAGTACTTGAAGTTGACCTTGAATTCCAAATCCTTCTGCTTCTACCTCTGAAGTGCTAGGATTGCAGGCCTGAGCCACTCCACCAGGCCCGTGGTTGCTTCTTTGTCTTTTCACTCTAGTTCCCGTCTATTAGGCTACTTACCATATTTACGGCACTCACAAACCCAAGATCTACTCTACAGCCAATGAAGCTCTGGCTTAAAAAAATTTTTTAATATGCTTTCTGCTCTCCACCCCAACATTATCAACATTGGTTTTAAACTGGTGAGTTCCATTTCTTCCCATTCTGCTTCTCTGTTAACTGAAATTTCTGGTTTTTGAGACAATGTACCCCAGGGTGGCAATGATATTGCTTACAATATCATTGTAATTAGCTGACAATGACATTGGACTCCCGAGCCTCCTGCCTCTACCTCTTGAGTACTAGCGTTACAGATATTGTTAATATTTTGTTTTAAAAATTGTTTGCCATTTGTCTAACTGGAGATGTTTCTGCCTCAGTCTACACAGTGTTACAATTACATACGTGTGCATGAATCCCCTGGTCCATCCACATTTGACAATATTTTCTTGAAGAAAATTTTAAAGGGGACCCTATGTTCATTCAGAAAGACAGTTTTAGACAAGATAAAGATGTTAAATAGAAATTAAACACATTGGCTGAGTGGATAATTTTGGATGTTAGCATAGTACATCTAAAATGTTGCCATAATAGACTTTGTCTACATCAGTGAGTGTTGACCTTGCTGGTGTGAGGACCTGAGTGGATCCCCAGCATCTGTGTCAAAAGCTAGCGCAGTGGCAGTGGCACCTACCTAGAGTTGCATTGCTGGGACATGAAGACAGCAAGGTCCCAGGGTTGCTGGCCAGCCAGTCAGGATGAAGCAATGAGCTGTAGGCTCAGCCACAGAACAACTGAGGAAGGCACTGACATCAGCCTCTGGCCTTCATGTGGATAGACACACACACAGACACACTCACACACAAACACACACACACATACACACACATAAACACAGGCACATATTCATATGTACCCACACACTCACATACACACTCACACACACACATATACACAGGCACACACTCATATATACCCACACACTCACACACACATATACATAGGGACACACTCACATACATACACACACTCACCCAAACATACCCACACACTCACATATACACTCACACACATATACCCAGGCATACACTCACATACACAAACAAACACACTCACGCACACACATATCATCAGTTATGGCAATTAAAAATAATAAAACTCATGTTGAAATTTAGCGCCCCCCCTCCTGCAGGGCAGTGGTGGCACATGCCTTTAATCCCAGCACTTGGGAGGCAGAGGCAGGCAGATTTCTGAGTTCGAGGCCAGCCTGGTCTACAGAGTGAGTTCCAGGACAGCCAGGGCTACACAGAGAAATCCTGTCTCAAAAAAACAAAACAAACAAAACAAAACAAAAACAATAAATGAAACTTAGCCCCCAAGAAAACAGTATTAAGAGGTATTTGCCTCTTAAGAGACACATGCCTTTATCCCAGCACTTAGGAGACTGAGGCAGGCAGATCTCTTGAGTTTGAGGCCAGCCTGGTCTACAGAGCACATTCCAGGACATCCAGGGCTACACAGAGAAACCCTGCTTAAAAAAAACAAAAAAAACAAAAAAAACCAGCCGGGCAGTGGTGGCGCACGCCTTTAATCCCAGCACTTGGGAGGCAGAGGTAGGCGGATTTCTGAGTTTGAGGCCAGCCTGGTCTACAGAGTGAGTTCCAGGACAGCCAGGGATACACAGAGAAACCCTGTCTCGAAAAAACAAATAAACAAACAAACAAAAAACAGATAGGGCTGGAGAGATGGCTCAGTGGTTAAAAACATGGACTGCTCTTCCAAAGGACCAGGGTTCAACTTCCAGCACCCACATGGCAGCTCCTGACTGTCTATAACTCCAGTTTGAGAGATCTGATACTCTCTTACAGACACGCATGTAGGCAAAATACGAGTATACATAAAATAAGAATAAATTACTTAAAAAATAAACAAAAGAAAAGGTGTAGTCTTTAGGAGGTGATTTAAGTAAAAAACTCCATCTTCATGAGTTGGTGTTGGTGTACTGGAGTTTATAATGGAAAGATATTTCTTGCTTTTTCCCCATACAAGTTAGCAAAAACATTCATTCCATTCTGTGGGGCCTAGCAACAAGGACTATCTTAGAAGAGAGGTTATGGCTGGGGAGAGGACTCCGCAAGTAAAGACACTTGCTGTCAAGGCTGATGACCTGAATTAAATCAGTCTGGGTCTGGGGGGAGTTAGCACAGCCATTAAGAATGCTGCCTGCTCTTCCAAAGGATCCAACACCCTCTTCTGGCCTACTGAAGGAACCAGGTACACTTGTCGTGCACACACATAAATTCAGGTAACACACCTATATATGTAATAACAACGCAAGTTCTCCCCAGACCTCCACAGGTACCATGACATATGCCCTCCTCTTTGAGAAAATAAATGAAAATTTTAAATATACTATTAAAAGATTGAAAGACAGTAGAGCAAACACCAAGTCCTGCAGATCTCTGTGTAGCATCTTGTGCTCACGATGTTCATCTGGGCTCCAAACGGCTCAACAGCCCGCCTTTCTAGCTCTGCTGTCTGCAGCACGCATAGTGCCCTCTTGGCCCAACTTTATTCAATGCCTATATCTATCTTCGGTAGGAATGCCATGGCCCTAGTATTCCAGTATCCCAGAGTCTTCATTACAACTTAGGCTTCATCTTCACAGCCTCACACAAGGGGCGCTCAGCCATCTCTGCGCTTCTGGGCACCTTATTGTCTCAGTACAGTCAGAGGCTTCTCTTCAGTGACAATTAAAGCTGTGTGGTTACCTGCGCTCTCCTTGTTTACAGTCATGCTTGTGTTCCCTTCCTTGCCACATTTCAGTTTTTTACTTCCTTTGTTCCACTTGTTGCTCTTTCTCATTACAGATCTGAATGAAAGCATGAGCGGTACACAGCCTTATGCTTTCCTGCCATGAAATTCCCTCCGACAGACAGATCGGTCTATGACTTTAATTCAGCCTCCCTCAAGTGTCCAGACATTGACAGAGTCTATACAAATGCTTTGCCCGAAACCTGAATGACCTGTAACACAGTTCCCAATAGAATTCTTGTTTACCTCTGAAACCTCATGAGCTAAGCCCCTACATTCTACATTTTCCTCTGCCTCTTTGTCTTACAAACTCCTACCGAAAGAGCCTATTAAACTCTTCTCATAACGTTTAAGGGCTTTTCTAGCCCAAGTTTCCAAGCCCTTTCAGTTTCCTCTCCAAAATTAGCTTCAAAGACCTAAGAACCTGAAAGTCAGATTTATCACAGCAGTGGCCCCACTCCTGGTACCAGTTTCTGTCTTACAGTTACTTTCTGTTACTGTAATAAAATACTCATAAGAAATCAACTTAG